AGGTGTGGCTTTGTTGGAGGAGGTGTGGCTTTGTTGGAGGAGGTGTGTCATTGGTGGGGGTGCTTGTGCTTTCAAAAATCTCACATCGTTCCCAGTTAGCTCTCTTCCTGCCTCACATTTGTGAACAAGAATGCGAGCTCTCAGCAGCTGCTCCAGCACCATGCCTGCCTGCTGCTGTGCTCCCTGCCTCCATGGTCATGGACTCACTCTCTGAAACCACGAGTCCAAAATACATAGGAAAGTAATTAAGACAGGCATGTTCTATTTTTAACATGGCTTAGTTACATGAATGTGTGCTATTTGATGACTATATTTAATCTATGTGTAGCTTTCAATCCAATTTTTCTTGTTTGTTTTTGTTTTGAGACAAGGTCTCATGTAGTGTAGGCTGGCCTCAAGGTCACTATATACTTGATACCAGCCTTGAACTTCTGAACTGCGAAATTCTATACCTGCCCCCAAGTGCTTAGATTACATAATAAAAAAATTAAACAAATGGGTTGAAGAGAACTAGTGGTGATAGAGTCTTTTTTTCATGTAAGCACTTTCCTCTTTTTTATTTTACTATTTTATGTGTATGGGTTTTTTGATTGCATGTATGCCTGTACACCAGAAGCATTTCTAGAAGAGGGCATTGGATTAACTAGGATGAAGTTATAGATGATTGTGAGCTACCATGGAGGTGCTGGGACTTGGACTTCGGTCCTCTGCAAGAGCAAAAAGTACTCTTAACTGCCGAGTCATCTTTCCAGCTCTCATACAGTTTTATCATCTCATCCCATATTTCAAATTTTAAGTGGTTTTTGTTTATTTCTTGAGACAAGGTATAAAACGCAATTAAGAGTTCTTGCTGCTTTTGCAGAGAACCTGAATTTGGTTCTCAGCTTTCACATGGCAGCTTACAACAGTAAGCTTACAACAGTAACTCCATTTTTATGAGATTCTGGCCTCTTTGGGCACCAAGCATGCAGGCAGTGAACATACATGCAGGAAAAAAAAAAAAACTTGTACACATAATAAGCAGATAAATAAATAAACAGATTAACCTAAAAAAAGTACACAATTATTAATAGATATGGGGTGCCACTATGATGCCAAGACTTCTCTCAAGTCATCCCCCTGTCTCATTCAGTAGCCAGGATTAAAAGCATAGTTCACCACAGGCAATTTTTTTTTTTGAAATGTTTGAAAGCATTTTATTCATTTAGTGGATTTTTTTTTTCTGCTTATAATGTTTTTCACTAAAGTAAAAATACTTTTCCAATCTGAAAACAGGCAACTTTTATCTCATATTTATGGGAGAAGGTAGGCGAGCTTTTGTCCTGCTTTCCATAATGATGAAACTTTGACTTGATCTATAAGCACACCCTTCAAAGCTGAGGATAAAATATAGGCTGGTCATACTGACAGCAGCAGCAGACAAAGAGTCAAGTATGAGGACACTGAGGAAAATTGCGGCTGCAACTTGGTAGCTGTGTATTCCCGACAGCCAGAAGGCCCTTTCTGCTTAAACACCCCTAAAGCTACAGTTATGTTGCCTCTACTATATCAGACATGAAGACATCAGGGATTCTTCTCCCACGTGCTCTAACAAAGAGTTTGTGTTTATGATATCATGTCATCATAATATCACTTGCACTGTGACCCTGACATGTTCCCTTTGTGAGCTTTCCTAGAGGATCTTGGTGTCATAGTTACTTTTCTATTGCTGTGGAGAGACACTATGACCAAGGCAACTTATAAAGAAAACATTTAATTGGAGCTCACGGTTCCTGAGGGTTAAAGTCCATGACTGTCAGGTGGGGAACATAGCAGCAGGCAGGCAGGGATGGTGCTGAGCAGTATCTGAGTACTTACATATGATCCACAAGCATGAGGGATATGGGGAGAGAAAGCAAGAGAGAGGGAGACCATGTTAATTGGGAATAGTGTGGGTTTTTGAAACCTCAACGCCTACCCCCAGTGACAGACCTCAGCCACACCTTCTAATCCTTCCCAAACAGTTCCACCAGCTGGGGGCCAAGCATTCAAACATTAGCCTATGGGGGCCATTCTCGTTCAAACACCACAGTCCACTCCCTGACCTCCCACGGGCTTGTGGCTGTATCACAACGCAAAATGTATTTAGTCCAACTTCAAAAGTTCATTCTCAAGACTGTTTAAGAACCAGGTATGGTAGGGTGCCTTTAACCCCAGAACTTGGGGCGGGGCAGAGGCAGGTGGATCTCTGTGAATAAAAATACAAGTATACAAGACCAGCCTGGTATACATAGTGATTTCCAGGAAATCCAGGGCTACATAGCGAGATTCCATCTCAAAATAAAATAAAGGACTGTCAAGTTCAAAGTCTTTCAGAGATTCAAGGCAATCCCTGTAAAATAAAATTTTAAATTATATACTTCAACATACAATAGCACACAGCTGGAGAGGCTTGATAACCCACGTGCATAGGTTGGAAAGCCACGTCTATCAGGTAGTGTATCTGGGCAGGGCAGCACATAAACTTCCACTTTATTCCTCTGATATGGAGATGTCAGCAGCTCACAGAGCCACTGGCAGGTCCCAGATGAGGCTACATGAAGCTCTTACAGACAAGCCCAGTAATTCCAGGGCAGATAGTCTGTTGTTCTGGACAGACTTAAGGAGACAGACACAACCTTCACTTTGGATGGGGTTCTTGGAAATCTAAGAAAGATGCACACACTAGAATGCTGGAGGCTTTTATGATGGCCCTTGTCCATAACCCCAGCACTCAGGAGGTAGAAGCAGGAGGATTAACAGTTCAAGACAGCAAGTTAAGAGGTCAGTCTAGGGACTGGAGAGATGGCTCAGTGGCAAAGCACACTGGCTTCTCTTCCAGAGGACCTGAGTTCAGTTCCCAACATCTACATAGTGGCTTTCAACTGTCAGTAACACTAGTGTCAGAGGATCTGACACTTTCTTCTGGCCCCCGAGGGCACTAGCAATACATGTGGTGCATAGACACAAGCAAAACATTCATACATAGATAAATCTCTAAAAAATTAAAACAAAAACCAAACAAAACACACAAAGCACAAAGGTGCTAAGGAGGTGCTCAGTAGTTAAGATACTTGCTTCTTTTATAGAGGATCCAGGTTCAGTACCAAGTGCCCTCAAGGGGCAGCTCGCAACCACTTGTAACTCCAGTTCCAGGGGATCTGATGCCTGCTACATCTATACACCCAGGCACACATACACATAAAATAAGTAAACCTTAAAAACAAAACAAAACAAAACAAAACAAAACTAACCTAAAAACAACAACAAAAAAGAAGTTCATAGCAGGGTGTATTTGTTTCTGATTGAGAAAAATCAGCAGGTTTTTGAGAGGGCTGGTGAACTAGGTTGATAGGACCCAAGGAAAGGAAGTGAGAAGAAGGAGGGTCTAGTAGGAACTCTCTGCAAAAGACTCAGAGGAGGGAAGGGTGAGCTCTAGGGCTCAGTCTTTCCTTGCTTTAGCCTAAGAAGGGGGAACAGTTCATCCAGGTAGGATTCTGGGACTCACTGTGATTGGAGATTGTCTATCAGGTAGCTGAAAAATGTGGACGCAAGCTTGAAATCGTCTTGGTTCCCATGTCACAGCAGATGGACTTGCTAATGAGCAAAGTTAGGAGGGGGATGCTAAGGGCCCTGGCAGAGCCAGGTTCACTCCACCCCCATGCTGAAGATGCTCCCTCCACTTCTCTGCCCCTCCCACACATGTGTTGGTACAGTTAAGACTTGCTCCACCACACCTGGCCCCCTCCCTTCTGTCTCTGCTCTCTCCCTGTCTAGGGGCCCACCCACCAGCTACAAACCTTAGCCATGTCTGAACTGTGGCCAGTAGGTACCCCTGACCTGACCCTGGTTTCTATCAAGGACAGCAGAAGCACAGAGGAGAAGGTGAAAGTAAATCAAGAGGGTGTGCTGGTTGCCTTCCTCACTTAGTGGAAGTCCTGTGAGTAGGTGAAAGACAGAAAGGATGGAAAGAAGAGGAGTCAGAGGAAGGGAGTGGCCAAAAGACGCCAGGAGGCCTTGTCCCAGAGATTTCTATCTGGGCTCTGCAATCCATCTGCTATCGCTGCAGTGAGGGGCTGCTGGGAGAGGCACAGAGAGTCTGTGCTGAAGCCTCTTCCATTGGGCTCAAACTTAAAGTAAGAACCTGCAGTGTCTGGTTGACTTGCAGACTCAGTCCCAACTTCAGGGCTCCTGCCATGGAGATTTGGTTGTTTCTGCAACAAGAGAGAGATGTGCATCATACTTAAAACATTAAATTGGCCTAGGTGCCCACTGATAGGTGGGTGGATGAATAAAATGTGGTGTGTAGTTCAGCCATGAAGAATGAAGAAGTATTATGTCAACTGAAGCAGATAGAACAGGAGGACCTTATGTTAAGTGAAGTAAGCCAGACAGAGAAAGCAAAGAACAAGTTTTTCTCTCATACACAAACACTAACAACAACAACAACAGCCTAGAAATATTCTAGTAATTATTAGAGATTGGGAAGAGTATGAAGAGGAGGAAAGTAAAAAAAAAATTAAAAAAAATATATGTAAAATAAAGGGAGGCTAGATAGGGTCAATGTGCTCTTCAGGCATGTATGGAGCTATCACATTTAATCCCACTAACATTAGTGAGAAAAATATGTTCATAGTACAGCTCTCCAGTATGCAGAGCTCAATCCCTCAGAGACCCTGCCTGAGTTGATATTGCATCTGGCAGATTGGGTTTCACAGCACAACCCTCTACTTATGCCCAGGCCCTGGTCAATGTCTAAAATATGGGTATGCTACCCCAGGGGTGGCAAGCACACTTACAGTGCCCTCTCCCTTGTGGAGATGAGGGGTTACTCCTAGGCCTTTTGAGATCTAAAAATGTTCCCGTGTGCTTTGTGCCAGCTGGCAACACATACCCATTACCATGACGATGTACACTCTGGATCCTGCTCCTCCCTCCTCTTCCAAATCTTTGTCTTTGAAGCCAGGCCTACATAGTGCTGACTTTCTCCTCCTCTCTTTTTCTCTCTTTCTCTCTCTATCTGTCTCTCTGTCTCTGTCTCTCTCTAAAGATAGTCTTATGTACTCCAGCCTATAAAACTGAGGATGACCTTGAACTTTTGATTTTTCCTGTCCCTACTTCCTAACTGCTCAGTTTACATGTTTGGAAGACATTGCAATTTGAGACTGGAAAAGCCACTGTGTTTTATTTGCAGAGCTTAGTAGGGTAGTTCTCGAGGGGCTTGGAAGGCAGTAATGCTGAAATGCCAGCAGCAATGAAACCCCAGATCACATTTCAGAAAGGAGCAAAGACTTTTGCATTGGTATATTTTGGCTAAGAATCTGTGTGTGCTGATCACTGGGGATGAAGAATCAGCTGTGAATGTAAAAGAGGTCAGGGCCGCTGCACTGAACCCCATGTTCATTGGGACAACAGGGTGCTGGTCACTGGGGATAAAGAGTCATCTTAAGACCGGCTGGGCATGTAAGACCTGGGGTCTCACAGCTTGAATCAGGAGTTCAAGATTGCGCCCTTCCCAGAAATTCCCACAGACCACAACTCAATGCAAAAGTAAGAGTTTTTTTTATTCCAATCGTGGTAGGGTCGCCCCTCCGAAGGCAGGAGACGACCCCAAGCATGCAAAGCACAGGGTTTTTATACTTAAAAATCTAGCCAATTTTGCTCTATACATTGATTGGTCAGCAAGAATAGCGTGAAGATAGTTTACAGCTGGTTGTTTGCAGTTTTTGGCCATTTGTGAGTTTTCTCAAAACAATTCACCCTGCCCTTATTTTTTTAAAAACTATCTTGGAGCAGTTTATCCTGCCCTTTGAGAGCTATCTGCCTCTGGCTTTAATTCAAGGATGGGAATAGTCACAGCTGTTTTTCTTTTACAGTTGTTGGCATTCTCGGGTGGGCTCTCAGGCACAGTGGCACACACTTTTAATCCCAGCACTCGGGAGGCAGAGGCAGGTGGATCTCTATGAGTCTGAGACCAGCCTGGTCTGCAAAGTGAGTTCCAGGACAGCCAGGGCTATCCTAAGAAACCCTGTCTCAAAAAACCAACCAAACCAACCAACCAAACAAACAATAACTAAATAAAAGATCAACACTGCTGAGGTGGGACCTTCTGTGCTTCAGGGACAAAACGGAAGTGTTCTCTTGGGGTTGGCACCAGAAGCTGGTCTAAGAAGGCCAGCTGGCAGACCTTGGTAGTTTCAGAGGTAGAGTCCATGTGGTACTAGTTTTGAAGGCATGGACGTTGCATGATTGAGGAGGTGAGAGCAGGTGAGGCTTTGCACCTTGTGTAGTGTTAGAGTCCCTGCAGCGAGGCCAACAGGAAGCACTGATGACAGTGAGGCCTCAGTTGCGGTGGAGACCCCAGAAATATTTGAAATGTATAACAGGAGATGTCCACTAAGGAGAGACGCAGGTGTGGTGTGGAACCAGCCTGGGATGGTGGCTGTGTGTGCGGCAGGTGGAGGGGCTGAAGACATGGGGCTGCCTCCGCCTTTTAGAGGCCAGAAGATTAAGAGTCTCAAATGGTGGACATAGTCACAGGATTGGATTTACACTGCTGGACTTAACTTTGCTTAGGTGCGATTGCTTTCAACTCCCCCGTCCTTGGAATAAGAAGGTTTATGAAATATAGATAGCATAGTCCATGCCGTTCTAAGATCTTCATAAAGATCTTAATGTCTCAACAATTCTATTTAGTGGGTATGTCATACTATGTTTAAACAATCTCCTGTAGTTTAACATCTAACTTCTTTAATGTATATTGCATGTGTAAATATACATAAATTTATCATGAGCTGGTTATTGTAAAAGCATGGTGAAGTGACTTACAAGGGTTCAACTATGACATTCTTTCTATTTTTGTGTATGTCTGAAATGTCTATAATAAAAAGGTTAAAGTGTGTAGCTATAAAAAAAATTGTCAGTGACATTATAGGACTCAAATAAAGGCTTAGTAGGTACAAAAAAAATGTTTACGAATGTAGTTTGCTTTTGATTTTATAGGAATCCAGTTGCAGATTCTGGATTCTTAAAGGCTGTTTTTTTTTTTTTTTTATTTGTTTAAGTTAGGTTTGGGTGCAAACACCCGAGGCACTCAGAAGAAGCCATCAGGCACCTCCTACCCCAGAAGCTGGAGTTGCAGGCAATGGGAGCAACCTGATAGGGGTGCCGAGAAGCAACTTGGGTGCTCTGCAAAAACAGGGTATAAGCGCATGCTCCAAACCCCCAAGCCATCTTTCCACCCCCAACAGACTTTGGATTTTCAAGGAGATTTTGGTCTTTCAAAGAGATCTTGGATGTTTAAAGTGTTGGATTTAAAAAAAAAAATTATGTATGTAAGCATTTCGCTTGCACGCACGTATGTGAACCTCTTGTGTACCTTGTGCCCATGGAGAGCAGAAGCAGCTTCAGATCTTCTGGAACTAGCGTTATGGATTCTTGTGTGCTACCATGTGGGTGTAGGGGACCAAATCTAGGTTCTCTGCAAAAGCAACAAGTGCTCTTAACTACGGAGCTCTCTCTCTAGCCCTGGGAGTATTGGAAATCTTCAGGACTATAGTTTACATTGTAAAATAAACACGAAGCTTTGGGGACGATGGCTGGGAAATTAAAGCTTACCGTGTGTGCCAAGTTAAAGGATGGCTTGGGCTGGTCAGCTTTTCTTGTCAACTTGACACAATCTAGAATTACCTGGAAGAGAATCTCCTGGGAGGAATCATCTAGATCAGGTTGGCCTCCATCGTGTCTTTGGAGCTTGTCCTGATTGTTGCTTGATGTGGGAAGATTAACCCTGAATGTGGCACCACAGATAGACTGTGAAGATAGCAGCCAGCAGCAGCATGGAGCAGCCATTGCCTTCTGCTCTCGATTGCATGGGTGTGATTCTCCGAGATGCTGAACTGCAGCCTGTGTTGTGAGCTGTGTAGAGTCCTCCTTTAGAGTTGCTTTTGGTCAGAGTGTTCCATCACAGCGACAGAAACAGAACCAGGAGTATGATGCCATTCCTGATTTCTGTGATGTCGGGGCATGAACCCACAGCCTCCACACACACTAGACACACACTCTACCAACTGAGCTCCATCCCTGGCTCCCAAGCAATGACCTTGAGAGGGAGGGACAGAGCTGAGTGCTGTAGGATTGAGGCTCAAGCCACGTGATGCATTGCGAGCAGCAGCCAGATCACTGTGTGTGGCCCCAAGAACAGCACCTCTTTCTTCTCACCTCATATTTAGTTCTTCCAACATGTTGTTGGCCTTGAGGACCTCATCTATTGTAGAAGCTCCAGCGTCTCCAAAGCTGTTATGAGAGATGTCTAGAACTTTCAAGAATATATTTGCCTAGAACACAAAAATAGTAAGATCTGGAGTGGACAGGAACTCCACAAGGAGAGCAACAGAACCAAAAAATTTGAACACAGGGGTCTTCCCAGAGAGTCATACTCCAACCAAGTACCATGCATGGAGATAACCTAGAACCCCTGCACAGCCCAAGGCAGTTTAGTGTCCAAGTGGGTTACATAGTAATGGGAAGAGGGACTGTCTCTTACATAATCTGATTGGCCTGCTCCTTGATCACCTCCCCCTGAGGGGGGAGCAGCCTTACCAGGCCACAGAAGATGACAATGCAGCTACTCCTGATGAGATCTGATAGACTGAGATGAGAAGGAAGGAGAGGAGGACCTCCCCTATCAGTGGACTTGGAGAGGGGCATGCATGAAGAAGGGGGAGGGAGGGTGGGATCGGGAGGGGAGAAGGGAGGAGTTTATGGGGGGATACAAAGTGAATAAAGTGTAATTAATAAAAGTTAAAAAAAAAAACAAAACCAAACAAACAACAAACAAAAGTAAAGATGTGAGTTCACATCTTGATGGGCCTCAGAGCCCAGGACAGCCTGAGCAATGGCAAAGGACAGTGAGCAGAGGTCATGCAACAGTGTTAGTAAGAACTCTTAGTCCAACAGAGGGAAAAGCAGCTGAGTTGATGCTGGAGCTGGGGTAGGGGCAGGAGGAAATAGATGCTGCTGCTGCTGCTGTTGTTGTTGCTGCTCTGCTGCTGCTGTTGTGTGTGTGTGGCTGAGCAGGTACTATAAGAACTGTGAGGTTGGCTGGGCATTCCAGCAAGTTGCTATTGGTAGAGTCTGAGTCCTCCAAGTCTGGCGTGGCTGTGCTGGAAAAGAGGCAGGAATGGTAGGCCAGTGGGGGTTCTCCTAAGGAAACCGTGTGACTCCAGTCTCTTCCCATTTGCCTCTTTGCTTCCAGTTGAGTGGCTTTTCTCTAGTGTTTGCTCAGCCATAGGCCCAAATGATAAAAAGCTGAAATCTACAAAACTATCTACTACAATATAGATACATGGGCATCTAAGAAACTGTTTCAGGTGCAGGAGAAGCGTTTCAACAGCTAAGAGCACCCGTTGCTCTTCCAGAGGACCTGAGTTCAGTTCTCAGCACTCATGTTGGATGGCTCACAACTCCTACCACAAAGGATGGGAAATCCTCTTCTAGCCTCCACAGGCACCCACACATATGTGGCACACACTCTCACACACATGTACACAGAATACAAATAAAAACAAATGTTTAAAAAGAGGAATTTGCTTCAGCTTATCCAGATGCCAGAAACTCCTAAAGCAGGGCCTGGGTGACCCTTCCATGCTCCAGGCTGCCCCCTCCCCACGTTTTTGGGCTCAACCATTCTTCCAAATAGTTAGGCCCATAGGTATGCCTCTCTTCAATTTGTATAGTTGGCTGGCACGTTAAGAGGTGAGTGACACACAGCCCGTGCAAAGGGCTGGGGAGACAATGACTGGATCCAGGCAGCCGTCCCAATTCTTTCATAGGACTTAGCTTCCCCTCGCCCTCCCCTGCCCCAGAGTGAGTGAAATCAAATCACACACACAGGACAAGTACCTTACCATTGAGACCTGCCACAGCCCTTTTTGCAAAAGGACTTGGAACAGAATCTTCATACGTTCTGCTACGATCTGTAGGCATATCGTCTCTGCTTCCTTTCCAAACCACAGCCTGGTCACTCTCCCCTGGATCACCAGCCCAACTGGTTACACTGGTGCCTGCCAATCTAGGAAACAGGCCTGCACGCTCAGAGTTCATCAGCTTCATGATCTTGCCATGGCTGCCTCCTTTCCACCCCACACGTAAATTTCCACTTAAGCATCCACCTGTCTCTAGAACCATGCATTGTTTCTCTTGGAAGACCACTGGTTACCGAGAGTGGTCTTGTTAGTGTACATTTCTTGAAGTCAGGAAATTTGTTTTGTTCATAGATACAGCCCCACTGCAGGGAGCAGTGAGATGTGCCTGGGGTTAATTGAGTTCTGTGGGGCTGGAGTGGAAGAACAGCCAAAGGTGGAATGGTGAGCGGAAGGAAACCAGCACAGGAATATTCTCCGGCAGAAATGGGTGTGGTCTTGCCCACCCGGCATCCTCCCACCCCCACCACCAGTGAGCAATAAGTACTCATGACCCATGACTGCCCAGAACAACTATGACCTGCCAGATCATTGAGCTGATGGTAGCTGAGATCTAGGGATTTCAGGCCTGTGTGAAGCATCAGGAGAGCAGCAAGGTGCTGGGCAGCCTGTTCCTGCAGGCCATTCCCTTCCTATTGCAGCTTCTCTACAGCTGGGTTTAAGGCCAGGCCAATACATGTAGTCTGCAGCCCTGCAGCTCCAGTCTGATTCTCTGACAGGTTCACATCTGAGGGCAGCAGCACTTTCTGGTCAATGGGACCCACAGCCCAGGACCACCCTCTTGCACTTCCCTAAACCTCACAAACCTCCAGGCCTGAGGAAAAGAAGGGGCTTTGCAATCTGATTATCTAGGGTTGGCATGATGGCAGCTCTGTCACCCATTGGTTGGGTCACCTTGGATCTCTGGTCTCATGATTGTCTGTGAAAAATGCTGTGGTAGAGGAACAACCACCCTGTTGATGACTGGTATCTTGTAACAACACAGCATCCCTGTGTGTTCTATTGCTAGGGAGTGTGAGCTCAGATACTCACTCAGGTCCACTTCTGCCATTTTCTTTGACATTTGCCACAGCCCAGAGAGCTAAGTGGTGCTGCTCTGATCACCACATTACGGGCTGAAAGCATGGCACAGAGGAAGGCTCTGCATTTGTGAGATGGACTCACAGACAAGATGGCCACTGTCTCCTTTATCCTTCCTACCAAGCCTAGTTTCAGTGTCCCTCAGCAGATACCTGGGGTCCCAGGCCACTGTGCCAAAGGTTCATTTCTGAGGCATTACCTTGGCACAGAAGACAAGAAGCCAGCACAACACCACAAGCTTGGCATGACTCCAGATAGTGGGTAGCCAGAACCAGTTCTCCAAGCCTAGTGCCCAATGGCAGATGGGACACAGAGGAGGATTGTTCATTGGCCCAGGCCCTTCCCTGTCCTTGCCATTTCATCTGCTGCTACTATGCATATATTCCAGATGAAGGCTCCAAGGCTGAAAAGAAGTCTTTTTTTTGAAGCCGGCAAGCTAGTCAGGGACAAAGGGAGAATTTGCCTAATGCTGAAAAGCATGCTGGTCTCACCCCACCAATTCCAGGCATCACAGATCACACCCCACCACCATCACCAAAGTTGGCCTCCAACTTGCTAAGGATAGACTTGAACCCAGGTTTCAAGCATGCTAGGCAAGCAGTCTACCAACTGAGTTACATTCTCAGCCCACAGGTCATAATCCCTATAAACACCTTGGGGGTGGAGTGTTGGAAATAATTCTAATTTCAATACATTCATTAGCTAAGTTCTTCCTATAGGTTGGAACACCCAGCCCTGAACCCTTCCAATTGCCTGTCAGGGTGTTTCATTTATAGGTTATTCTGGAAGACAGTTCTAAATATTGGGCCTTCTCATGGCTTCAGGAGGGCAAGGGGCTTGGGGGTCAGCTGTTGACAGTGAGGAACGCATCCTCACAGAATGGTGTGGTCCCATGCCAGCTGCCCTCCCACCACCTTTGCAGGAAGATGGCCAATTGAGGAGTCCAACCAGAACCCCATGGGGAGGATGAGGCACCTTCTGTTTCCAGAGCAGAGTGTGAACCTGTGGTCCGCAAATCCTTGTGCTCCAGGACCTCTGTTTGATGTTCAGTGGCTGCTGCATCACCGTCTTGATCTTCGTTCTTCGAGGCTCCTTGCAGGGACCCTTCATTTTCATTCTTACTTCCCAGTCCCCACAGCTCTCCACCTAGAATGCTTCCCAGGGACGTGGGTGTTCCCTTCAGCTGCTTGACTAATCAGATCTGAGCTACAGGCAACAGGTGGTCACGGGGGCCAGTAACAGCGCCTTCTTCCTCCCATCCGTGGTCGTCCGGGCAACCGGGTGTAATTTGTGGCTGCAGAAGCACCATTGCCTTGGCATGCTCCTCACCAGGGCTGATTACCTCACACACCGCTGCTATGCTTGGGGTGGTCACCTCCTTCATGTTCCTTTTGTGGATTTTCCCAGTTTTTTCTTGTGTTTTAGTTACTGTGCTTTGGGGCAGGAGGTGGCTCTAGGAAAGACCTGTAGCCTAGCAATAGTTTTTCTCTGGAGCCACAGATATGCCATCACTCACCGCCTCACGGTCTCAGCTTTCTTTCAAGATCTAGCTGTTGCTATGGTGCTTCACAAGCAGGGACATCTCTCAAAATCAACTTGTACTGTTGCACTTTGGAATCTGCAGTTTTGAGCTCAGAGCCCCCTTCTCTGGGCATCTGCTTCATGTTGGTCACCCTATAAAGAAGCTGAATGGGTAGTCAGGGACAGGGTTATTCCTCTCTGTATGCATAGGGTCCAACCCAAGAACTCTGGACAGGATGGGGGCCAGCTAGATCATCTGGGGTTTGGGACTGAGCCAGAAGCCAGATCCTGCCAAATTGGAGATGTCCCTTTAACAACACTGGCCTGGATCCCATTCATGGCTGCTTTGCCTCCAGTTCAGCTGCTGCTGAAGCTGCCTGCTGACTCATGAACCATTGGCCAGCAGAAGCTGGGAAATGGCTCCTGCAGTTGTAGCGGCACTCGTGAGCTGGGGGTTTCTGGATTACAAGACAGAGAAATATGTGATGACCAGGAATTGCCGGGTGGGCGTCTCTCAGAGGCTGCTGCAGCTGGGAGTGGTGGCCTATGTTATAGGGTAAGAACAGCTCCTGGCCAGGCTGGCTGCAGAGTGTAGTGTCTGGCCTGCTGGCTGAGAGCTAAAAGCTGGCTTCTGAGAATTCTAGCTGGTGGGAGAGTGGGACTGGGGCATGGGCAGGTAAGTAGTCAGTAAGAGGGATTTTAGTCCATTAGAGGATAGCAGAAGAAGCCATGTGCCCATATAAGGGACTTTGTTCCCAGATTTATCTTGGTCTCTGTGCACATCTGCAGTAGGAAGGCAATAATTCTTTGCATGTGTGAGCAAAAGAGCACCAAGGCTCCCAGAGAGACTACTAGGCTTGTGTCTGAAGAGTCTTTGAGCGGGGAGTTGGGTTTGCTGAGTATGGGAGGCAATGGCATGTGAAGAGTGGCCGTGGTGGACAGCTCCCTCTGAGAGCTCTACCTGCTCTGGGATCGGGGGCAAGAGGTGTGGTTAGACAGAAGGTGGAGGCTCTCCATGCTGATCTGGGAGCCTCTGGAGTATACCAAGAGGGCTTCATGTTGTGGGCCCAGCCACTCCTCACCTGCTCACATTACACTGTCCATCATCCTCTCCCTAGGTGGGCCCTCTTGGCCAAAAAAGGCTACCAGGAATGGGACTTGGACCCACAGATCTCTGTCATCACCAAACTCAAGGGGGTTTCTGTAGTCCGGATTAAGGAACTGGAGAACCAGCTCTGGGATGTGGCTGACTTCGTGAAGCCAGTACAGGTAGGTAGGTCCCCAGTGCTGCTGGAAGAAGCCAGAGCCCTTCGGCAGCCGTGCAGCTGCTGCGCATGAGATGCATAGGCTGCCTGTGATGCCAGAGGGCGGGTGAAGGGCTCTGGTAGGGGCCTCCCAGAGTGCTGAGTCAGTCTGAGGAAAAGACTTTCAGGGTTGTATAGCTTTTCAAGTCAGGAAGCTGATGCCTATAGAATTTCCTTAAAAAGAGGAAGGTTAGAGTGGTGGGGTGCTTGCCTGGCATGCATAGCTCCTGTAGCTTCAAGCCCTAGTAACATGTACACACACAAAAAAACCCCTCTCATCCTACCCACCACCCCACACCCCACACAGAGATATGCCTGAGAAGAACTGAAATATCTTAGGCTCAAGATTTATGTTTTGGAAGTAAAAGGTAGAGGGTGGGAGCTCAGGGTTTGGTTTTTCTAACGTCCCCTTGTTATCAGTCAGGGATCTTAGGTCAAGTTCATTTTTTCCACTGATAAAAGAATGAGAGAGAAGGGCCTGGAGAGATGACTCAGCTGACCAAGAACACACATACATATTCATTAAATAGTTAAGTAAAACTGCTCAGTCAGGCAGTGGTGGCACACGCCTTTAATTCCAGCACTTGGGAGGTAGAGGCTGCTGGACTTTTGAGTTTGAGGCCAGCCTGGTCTACAGAACAAGTTCCAGGAGAGCCAGGACTACACAGAAAAACCCTGTCTTGAAACACAACAAAACATAAAAACAAACAAACAAACAAAAACAAAAACAAACCTCAAAAGAAAAAAAGAATTAAAAGCAGGAAATAACTCACAGACACAGCAAATAAATGTCTCATTAAAAGTGAAAATGTCCACCACCCAGAAATTAAAAATCCTTTCTCCTTGGAAGACTGCTGTTCTTAAATATTTATGGTGTGATAGAACAGGTACCTGTCCCTGAATTTTGGATGATCAACTTAAAAGAGGACCCTGATGAGTCCATGGGTTGGTGCAAGCTGAGACATGTTCAGGACCAGCTTTGAACATAACTAGACTGGTCTAGATTGTTCTCCAGACGAGGACCCTTTGGGCAGAAAAGGAAAACAAAACAAAACAAAACAAAACAAAACAAAACAAAACAAAACAAAAAACTTACTGAGCCTTTGTCTTGGCGAGGAGTGGTGAGGAAGAAGTTGAGAGCTCACCATCTTGTAGTGTTTGCACTGCCCCTTTCCCTATCTTTGCCTGCCAGAGTGCAATCTAACTCCTTCCAGCCATGTCACTCAGGAGCCCCTTCTTCCCTTCTACCTCCACATACCTGATTTAGCCCCAATTACTAGCTTACATGTTACATTTCCTGAGGTGACACAAACAGATGTCTGTTTATCCCAGGCAGGGCACCAACAATGAGCCAATTCCATTACGGATTAGTTCAGTGAGCCAATGAGTAATTGTGGTTCCCTGTGGGTGTGTAAGTGAGGGTACTTATGGCAGCATTGGCAACTGCATCACCGTGGCCATGTTTGGGCTCCAGGTGGTACCGCACACACACTTCCTGCTGCACCAACGCTGTTCCACTTGAAATCAGCAGACCCTCTCTGTCCCTACTTGGGGTTGAGCACATGAGAATTGGAAATGAAACTTGTACTAAAGGTGTGGATAGAGGCACAACATTTCCTGGGCTCAGGAAAGGCCATAAGCCTAGCCAGCTTCACCTGCTGTGGATGCCACTTTTTTGCAGGACGAAGTTGGTAACTAGATGGGGCCAAGAACTATCCCTACAAAATCCAGACTACCCAGGCTGGGCTATACCTCAGTGGGCACTGGCCTAGCATGCCTGAGATCCTGGGTTCTATCTCCAGCATTGACAACAACAAAAAGCAAACAAAACAGGCTGTCAATGTCTAGCGCCTTGGCTGGTGCAGCTCAGCAGATGCCAACCTCCAGCTTTACCTTCTAGGGAGAGAATGTTTTCTTCCTGGTAACCAATTTCCTTGTGACACCAGCTCAAGTCCAGGGCAGGTGCCCAGAGGTAAGTTTGTCTAGAGCCTCTAACACACCCCTTCTTCCTCCACTACCTTACCTCCACTCTCCATCACACATAGCTCAAGGCTACGGTTTGAGCTTGCTATGTCTATTGGAGGCAAAGGGCTAAACCTTTCTAGAAGTCACTTCATTGAGTTTTTACATCTACTGTCCACCAGGAATAATATAATTCCCACCAAACAGATGATTGGGATTCCACAGATTTTAGTCACTTGCCCAAGGGTACTAAGTATAGGTTACCTGCACAGTATCTGAGGAGCCTTGGGATCTCCAACCTATACAGCATCAGATCTGAGTGGGACGATTCCATGAAAATGTCCAGTCTCTTTACCATGCTAGTCCTGCCTCTGGGTTCCAGCCAGGTACATGCTCAGGTGGGCATTAATGGAAAAAGGCAAGGCTGAAAGATCAGCTCTTCACTTTATTAGTGTATCTTGAGTCAGCTTTCATCTGGGGGACAAGCTAGCACACCTCTGCCTTTGCTTTCAGGTAATTTATGATCACTAGGTGTTTTCCAGCCCAACTGTGTTCATGTTTGAGCTTTCTGCCTCATTCTTATCTGCTTCTCATGAAGAAATGCAAGCACCTACCCACGGGCCCCCAATCTTACCTTTTCCCTTTGTCTGGGGACGTTCCAGACCATCTTTCAAAGGGCACACTAGCTCGCACCAACCGTGGCGTTTGTGTGGGCAGTTAGGACCCATTCCATATAAATGCATTGCACTCAAGGCTAACCTCTGCTTGGCTGGGCTTCCACACTCTGGTATTTGGTCACGCCACAGTCTCAGAGGATGTCACATGTCCATGGTTGACGCCTATCCACAAAGGAGGTGATGTATGTATACAAAGGATGACTCTCCCTCAGGGAACCCAAACAGTATTCCCACCTCCAGATGCTTAGAAGACAGTGATTCCAGGTTTAGCATGTAGGCAGCTCTACAATGTCACCAAACCTACACGCCCATTTAGAGAAAGTACACAGCTCTTCCCCTTTCCCTGTCTGAGGCTTCTGGTTCTTCTTGTGAACTTATCATGACCAGGTTTCCTGAGAATAACCAGAGTTCCTGCCAGCTCTTCTTGGAAGATTCGTTACCTGGTTCCTCCTAGCATGTACTAAAAAATCCTGAGTGTCATGTCCTTCTGCAAACCTTTCATGACATCCCACCCTGCGCCCCACAGCATCTAGGCTAGGCCCTGGGCTGGGCTGGCAGAACTCCAACCCTCTCTATCTCAAGTTGCAGTTATGGTCCAGCCAAGGTGGTAGGTTCCATGATGCCCACAGAGGGCAGCGGCCACAGT